GTGTGTGTGTGTGTGTGTGTGTGTGTGTTAATTCACTCCCATGTGATCCCACTTTTCTCTGTCCATTATTCCTCCCATTTAGCTGGCCACTTCCCCAGTTGGAGCCCAGTCAGATCAGGCTGATAGTGTACCAGGACTGCGAGAGGCGTGGCAGAAATGTCCTGTTTGACTCCGCCGCCAAAAAAAGGGCTACGGAGGAAACCCCCATTACTGTAAGTTGTATGTCGTTTTTGTTGTTGTTTTCGTTTCCCCCTTCGTCTTTACCCATATGGAAAAGAAATAGTAAAAACATATATGATTTACTCATGAAAGTGGCCACTTTCATGAGTAAATCATATGTTTTTAGTAAGTATACAAAACATACAAGTTTCATTATATAATGTTTCAAGGGATCTTATATGTGTTTTCACTCTTGTATGCTTTTCATACAAGTTTCATACAAGACAGATAAAAACTTTATAAGATTTATATATATCTTTTCCATATGGGTATGTGCTTGTGAGCTGCTGACATTTGGGACATTTCCCAATTGCTGATTTTAAAACAAAAAATAAATAAACAAAGAGGTTCCCATGGGAACAAATGATGCACTAAAATAGCTACAGACGCTGTTGCAAAGTCTAAAATCTTTGTAAAAATTGATGTATTTACAACTACTAACTTTTTTTTAAAACCTTAAACTTTGACCTCGAAAGCTCAAAGAAAGTTATTGTAGATGAAGAAAGATAAAAGCAGTGAGACATAGGCAGGCGCAAAACAGAAACCAGTCACGCTGCCGTGACATACAGAAAGTCATGTGCCTGATTCACAAAGTCCAGAGGACACTAGCTGCACCTTAACCTGTACTACACCTCACTTCCCCACAGAAAGTTAAAAGACAGGGAGTGCACCTGGTTGGACTGTTTGTGAGTTTGTCTTTTTGTTTAAGATAAGGAATTTCTTTTTCACAAAAAACCTGCTGAATGAATACTTATAAGTACTCTTATAGTCAGCATTCTAGGGCAAGAATGCCACAAAGGCCATTATTACCTGAAAACTCTTCAAACAGGAAGTGTCTTTGTTTGTGTCACTAAGCCTAGATTTAGACTTAATTGCCAGCACACCCATCTAGTGAGACTTGAAGATGGAAACTAACTAACTTATGCCATATAACTACCAGCTTTGGGTATATTTTTGAGTTGGTCACAGTCACTGCTTTTACCCTTTTTATTTCTTTGTAACATAACTAATATTTTTATACGGCTGCTGTTTGTTCCTTTCTGGCCCTGACCGGTTTGTTCTGGTGCTGTTATCTCAACTAATAATAATAATCGCGTCAGCTGACAGCCCATGTGTAAGCAGCATTCTTTCATCCTCACATGACAGCCATGTCACTCAGTTTTCTGTTGTTGTTTTTTTTCCTCCTCCCTTTCCTTTGTATTTATCTTATTTTGTTTCAAGCATTTTAATTTATTTACCTAAATGTGTCATCTCTGCCTTCTCTAGCTGCCTCCTTTTAATCTATATCACTGTGATGACCTCATTAGCGTCCTCTGCTTTTTCTAAAATAATTTGGTTGTTTTTGTCCTCTACATTATCCGTGTAACAGTTTTATATATATTTATAAGTCACTCTCTATCTTTACAACTGTTAGCTGCAGTCAGATGAGATATATATATGTGCACTTACTGGCATTTAAAGATTGTTTTAATATCAAATCTCACTGGATCAGCTATTGCTGTTCTCACGTTCACCTGTTCTCACTTGCTCTTGCATATGAGAAAATGACTTTTCTCTACCATTGCTTCACACATCTGTCTTAACCTGCCTAATCTTTCTCTGTACCTCAGCTGTCTTTCTTTTGGTCCTTGTTGTCCTCCATAATATACCCTGCCTCCCTTCCTCCTGTCTTTCATGTCTTTTGACTTCTCATTATACACTTCCCTGTTCTTTCTCCTCTCATTTTACTATCTCTTCTGTTGCCTCCATATTTTAGGACTGTGTTTTGCTTCCCCTTAGGTTTGTTTCTTTGTCTGCTGACCAGGTTTCCTCTGCTTTGCCATACCTTCTCTTGCGTGACTCATCCACTTATCTCATTATCATATCTATAAGTTTGACATATTGCAGGCACACGTTCACTTCCTGCTTTGCTATATGGCCACCTGACATTGAAATTAGGATGGTATATTTGCTTAACTTCCTGAACTCATTCACCTCAACTTATTGAAGCGTTGCATTTAAATTGGACCTGGGCCACGTACTGTATACAGTAACAAAAGCAAGAGTTATGTTGTGTGTATGTTTACATGTCTTGCAGAGTGACATTTGTTTGCAGTGAGTACATAGATACTGCACTGACCCTGCTTACTGCATTATGTGTTTGTTGCTTGGGTTTGAGTCAATATTTTTGGTGCATTCTGCAGCATTAGGCCTTTGCCAGTTACTCTTTTCTCACATGACAGGTTTTTGGCAATTCGGGTGAATTTATTTTTGAGAAGAGATTACAGCTGCAAAGCACAGAAAAACAGAATGACTAATAGAGAAACAAGGGACCAAGCAAGAGAAGCTGGACAAGGGGAGATATATGTGATGGGGTCAGCAAGAGTCAGGAATGAAGAGAAAGAGGGGAGATAGTGGGGAAGAGGAAACTGCAAGAAAATGGAGAGGAAAAAATTGAAGACTGCACTTGTTCTGATATAGAAATAGATTTTCAAAGGAGAGGAAAAAAGCTGCAGGAATTGGAGAGGGACGAAGTTAGAGCAGTTGAGGGAGTGGAGAGTGGAAGGGGGAGGGAGGGAATGATTGCAGTGCTGCTCAGTCACGAGTTTTCGAAAGAGTCATATGACTGGCAGTCACATGCTTGCGGAGTCTGTGTACATACCTCACACTGCACTGCAGCAGACACACACACACACACACACACATACATCCGTGTGCCTGTTTGACACATGCATGTTCGCAGTGGCTTCATAACCGTGTCTGTGCTGCAAAATGACCTTTATAAGTGAAAGAAAACATAAGCTGTATGCAGCAGGGTTACGTAATGAAGCAAAAACAGTCCTTCTACTTCTTTGCCTGTTTTCCTTCTCTCCTTCTCTCATGCTGTTTTTCTCTCACAGCATCTCATATTCCCTCTGTGTTCTTCTCTTTTTCACTGTCAGCAACAGTGGTTTCAAGTGAGCCATTACCAGAGCCTAGTCACTAAAAAGAAACCTCACACACACCCTCTCCCTCCCCTTCCACCCTCCCTAATGCATTCCTCTTGAATAGTCTGCCAAGTTAAGAAGGCACATGACACAGGCTGATTGAGATCACATTGCTTTTAGCTAGCTGTTTATACAAGTACCTCTAGATTGGGTTTCTGTGGCTTTTGACCTATAGTTTAACTGTATTTATGTTTCTCAACTAAAAGCTTTACTTCTTATGATGATTTTTGATTGTAAGAAGTCAAGGGTCCAATTTGAAACTCTGTATAAAATGGATGAAGAACACTCTTGGATATGTACTCTCTTTATGCTTACGTTAATAGTGGTCTGTATAATTGATAAACACCCCACAATACAATCTTAATGACCTCGTCTCTATTTCCACATGTGCAATTTGTTGCTACATGAATGTCATTAAGAGCCAAATATGTTCAACCCTCCTGTCTTGTGATTTCAGCTCAGGGTTGTAGGTCATTTGCAGTAGATGCTTCAAATTTATGCTGCTTTTGTTTTTTTGTTTGGTCTCTAATTAGTCACAAGGATGAAAAGTTGCAAAACAAAAATCAACAACTAATTGTAGAGGTAAATAAGTCTGCATTCTTGGCAGTTGGGTCTATAATATTCTATATTTTGATTTTTTTTTTTTTTATCTTGCAGAGCGCCGAGTCCCAGGTGAAGATGTTTGGAAAATGCTGCCAGCTTCGTCCTACAGGAGGCAGCAGCAGTTCCCTGGACAGCTCCTCTTCCTGCACCTCGGAAACCAAGGAATCCAAGGAGCAAGGCCTCCGCTTCCAGGTAACGCAGGACTGAGATTGTTTAAATGAAGTACTCTTCTACAAAGACATATCCATAAACACACAAATGTAAACTGTGTTTGTATACGTTATGGTCCTTGGGGAGCACTCTTCAATTTAGTTTGAAGTTTGTTGCATGTTTCAGTCACAAGTTTTGATTTGCTGGTATCATTTGAGATCAAACTGCTAAAGTAAATTGTGTGCAATCTCCCCCGTTTATATTAAGTGCTAAATGAATAACTGCTATGATGCCTTAAGAATTTGCACAATGTGATTGTGTCGGTGTCTAATGCCTAGAGGTTACAATATCAAAATATTTCTTTCCTTTCCAGGGTTCAAGGTGTTCATCAGATGTGGTTATGCTGGGTGAAATGATGTTTGGCTCTGTGGCCATGAGCTACAAAGGCTCTACACTTAAAATCCACCAGATAAGGTAAAAAGAAAATGAATGCATGAATGACTTTCTCCTCACTGCTGTTTCCTGAGTTAAAAAAAAAAAAGCAAACATTAAATATTCTAGTTCTGAACAAAGGGACTTTTAGAAACTTGTTGAAACTATGGGATATCTGATCCTTAAGTTTTCTGAGACCAAACAGTTTTAAGGTCAAGTGAAGGTGATAATAGGATCCAGGAAGAAAATAAGTTGTGAATTGATTAGGTAGAAGAAGAAACACACAACCATAAACATGAACAAAGCACACATACTAATGATCTTTGTTCCTGCACCATCATCATATCAGATCACCACCTCAGCTGATGCTGAGTAAAGTCTTCACTGCCAGGACCGGAGGCAGCGTGTACGGCAGCCTGAACACGTAAGCATTTGCAAGCTTATCAACACACGCTGTGACTCCTATGCAGAACTCTGTCATAAACCAAGATATGCCAGTATTTTCCAATCCACAATACAAGTGTTGTTGGCAACAATCCTTATAAATGTTCTGCTGGCTTTCTCTGTTCGTCCCACACAGGTTACAGGACAGCCTGGAGTTCATTGGACAGGACAACAACACCCTAAAGCCTGATCAAAACACTGGGCCCAACAGTCTGCTAGGGAACATAGGTAACCATGGCAATCTAGTGCCGTGCCAAACCTTTTATTTTTGTGCCATGTGTGATCATTTCTCTTCCTCTGTACAAATTATGAGTGGATTACCAAGTCATTTTTTCTTTAATGTAATCATAGAGAGAAATTGCTCTATATCTTTATGTAATGTGTTTGTTTTTGTTCATTTTTTGGACTTGTTAAATATATACAAATGCATATTTAATTTTACCCTCATGGCATTTTGTTTGGAAGGCTCAACTCTGTAAAGTGTTGAATTTTGTTGCTTATTTATTTTATCGGAAGTTGAAGTTTTTCACCTTTAAGCTCCACCATTGCGGCCTCCCAGGGCGCTCTTTGCCAACAGCTTTTCTTTACAGCTACGTCTACCCTAAACTGGCGCAAGATTTCTCAGTTGGTAAACAGAATCGGCCATTCTATGAAACACTTAAGGCATTCTAGTATTTGTGCTCTCGTGCTTCACTGATCCTTATGATGACCGACTGTGCTACAGGTGGTGAAATTTGAGTGTTGGTTTTTGATGGTCAGTACATTGTCTGTGCAGCCAACTGATTTAGGCTTAGGCTGTGAAATGCTTCTGCTACAAAGATGAGCATAAAAGCCTGATTTTTAAAAAGCTCAAATGAAGAACTGTTGGCGAAGTTTCTAATTTGTGCAGATTCTCTGTCATCCTCACAGAAAAGACATCTAGTTACATACATCAAAGCTGAAAATCTAACCAATTACGAAACCTGCTTTAAAAAAAAACAAAAACGTATATGGTGCATTTTCTGTGAGCGATGCCACCTCTCTTGTCTGCCTGGTTGTTTATTTCATTTCAAACTAAAAATTTCCTGTAACTAATGAGACTTTCAAACAATAGGAGGCAGTGATATTTCCTCCTCCATTCACTAATCATGGTTCGTGTTTTTTGTCCTTTTTTTTTTTTCTTCTTCCCTTCCTCCCTTTCTTCTTTTCCATGTTTTTGTTTGTGCTGCGCAGGATTTTCTCAGCTCTGCAGCCCTCGACGGGCCTTCTCTGAACAGGGCCCGCTACGCCTCATCAAGAGCGCTTCTTTCTTTTCAGGTTGGCGCTCAAAACTGACCATGATTGCTGTGTGTCAGTTGCATGCGTATCTGTAGACTGAAGTTTAAGTAACGGTGGTTGCATTGGATGCCTCTCAGCAACTGCATGCCTGGGTAGTGATTCTTGCATTAGCAGTGATAGTATTCGAGACATAGCTTGCAATGGCACTAAGCATCTGCAAATAACTTGGGTCAGATAGGACGTGCAAAAAATTTAAAGGCAAGTGGCACTGAGTAAATGAAAAGGCAGTTCTTTAAACGAGGATTGAGGCGTCTTGGAGCCATACTCAAAGACAACTCATGCCCTTAAGCTTCATCTCTGCTTCTTCACATAAACCACAAGGAAACTAGGAAACGGTGGAGGGAATGTGTATTCCTTCAGGCATTTGCAGCCTCACAAACAAGAACTTGACTCATTTGCCATAAAGCTGTCTCAAATCATGTATATACTTTATCTGACCCATGTCTGCAGGTGGATAACACACAGGAATGCATGAGGGTTCGCTGGTGTCGGTGGCTGTAGTATTAGTTATTTTTACAGTTTCATGTCCTCCTGTTTCTGTTATGTACTCACATACTTTTACTAACATGTTGTCTTTGACAGTGCCTGTCATACTTGGGCAATGCTTTTAGGCTTGATGTGCAGTGGGCTGTTTTTAAGTTCTTTTTTCCCCCTTTCAAAATCTTTTCTCATTTACGCCAATGAAATTGTAGCAACAGTCTCACTTCCTGGCTGTTGTGCAAAGTAAAATAGCCATAATGAAGAATTTTCTACCATCTGTGTCTATCACACACGCTTAATATGCAACTTGAAGCTGTTCCTCACAGAATAGGTCTTGTTTGGGGGCTTTGTTAATCTTTGATATGCTGCTGATTAAGTTTGGGACCAATCAGATGCTTCCTTGATTGTATTGAAAGTTGTATAACCATCTAAATCAAATCTCCAAACATTACTGTATTTTACATTGCAATCAATACCTTTGCCACACTTCAGTAGTGGTTATCACTACCTCCATGTTTCCCATTTGGGGTTAGGCAACCTTTTTCCATGGTAATCTGGTAAGAGTTATAAAAAAGTGTTTTACTTGGCATGCAATATTTTTCATACACATCCTTCTAAGGACATCCTTGCATTTGCGCTGGTATGCAATATTGCAGTGATTAAAGAGCACTGAGATCATTTCAGCCATTTGCGTTTGTGGGTTTCACCTCTCATTTTTCCTATTTTCTTTCCGTCAGTATGTTGACATTAAGTGCAGACACACTCTGTGATATCTGTGTTACGGGGTTGTTGTAGAGGGAAGTCGGCGCTGCAGCAGATGATGTTGATAGTGACACCGAGTGAGCTGTTGAGTAACAGTCTATTACAACAGTAGTGCTTTTCACCTTATTTGTCTTCCTTGTGACACTTCCTGTTTTTGGAGTTGGAAAACAAAGGTTGCTAACTAATGACATGAGAATCAATCGGGAGCGCCCACTCCCCAGCAGAGAGTAGTTCAGCACCTGCTGGAGGCTAAAGCCTTTTTTATGGAGTTCTGAGTACTGCTCCGTTGGCTATTTTAAGATATTTCAACCCCATCTCTGCTGTATTGGCTCATTGCACTCATTATTTTGATTCTAATCAAGAAAAACAACTCTTCTGCTTTGTGGTTGCTAGTCCAAGAGTTAATGTTACACATCTAAAAGCATTAGCATCTTGTGTATTATAATGCAACATTGTAAATCTCTAACATAGTGGCGATAAGAGCATCTTCAACATGTTTGGTGCTCCAGTTCGTTAATAACATTTTTTCTTGTTCACACAGGTCATTATTTTATTTTTTATTTTTATTTTTTTGTTTATTATCCTCCCTTATTTCCATTTTCTGCCCTACTTTCTCTTCACCCACTCTCACCCTTAACTTTTCCCTTTCTCTCTCTTTCCTGTTTTTCCTCCAGGCCACAGTCACCCTATGGACATGCCTGGCCGAGGGCTGTACGACGAGAGGGACAGTGGCATCGCCAGGTCTGGTACGTTAATGAGACTAGGCGCCAAAGCCTGGATTGACCTACACTCACACCACTTTCAGTCCCACAGCTGAGTTTTGAATTACGCCTACATTTAATCTGATCAAGACTAAAAAGGTCAAGGAACAGAGAACATTGAGAGTATGTCAGGAAGATACTGGGTCATTACACTCTACATAAAACCACACAGAAAGAAATAAAAGCATGGTGGAAGATGGTGTTGAGGTGAATACATAGCTTCTGAAGTCTGGAAAAGTTTGTCCTGTGGAAACTGACCCCTGTCTCCCAGGCTCTCCTTTAGCCCCACCCCTTCAAACATCACCACGTCCTATTGGAATGATTGGTACGAGGAGAATTGTACATTCAGCACGAGACCCATGTTTAAGCAGAGAGTTAAATATATCGTCGCTCGATACTAGCTTTTCTAATTTAAGAACTCGGCATCTTTTTTTGACTTTCTCCACCTCTGTACTGTGGTTAGGCTGGAGAGGGGTTTTTTGCTGCTGCAACACTCTTATCAGTTTTCTCCTTACAAGATGTACACATTCATTCAGTTATCTCTCTTTATCTCTTAAAACAAACACACAATATCACACACCAAGTAAATGGTTCATGTGACCAGTGATCAGTGCGCCCTGTCAGGGCTGTAAATAACCCTGTGATCAAGGCCTGTAGAGAGAGAGAGAGTGTGTGTGTGTGTGTCAGTGTCATTATCATGCCAAGCCTGGTGTAAAGCCAGTTTGTCAAACAACTGCAGCATGTGACTATGAGCAAGCTTGCTGACATTAGCGCTCATATCAAAGGTATTCAGTAATTATAGTCTGCGTTTGTGGAAACCAAGAAAAAAGATTGAATGTTTGAGGATTCATTTGTTTGTTTTCGGTGTACCTGTTTTGTTTTTTCTCTCCTTCTCTCTTAGATTGAGAGCACTGTTTTCAAGTCTGTCTGGCTGTGTTTTTGTGTATGATGTCTCATTGAAACTGAGTACTCTACACACTTGTTGTCTGACTAATTTGTGCCTTTTTTACTCTTCTGTCTCAACCATTCCCTCTGTCTGTTCCCTACTCCTTTCCTTATCTTTCATTGTAGCTTCCTTGAGCAGCCTGTTGATCACTCCCTTCCCATCCCCGAGCTCGTCCTTGACCAGCAGCTGCGCGTCCAGTTACCAGCGCCGATGGCTCCGCAGTCAAACAACCAGCCTAGAAAACGGCGTCTTCCCCCGATGGTGAGATGCATGCAGACATACATCTGTTTTAAAAAAAACAAAAACAAAAAACAAATATTAATTAAAATAAATATTCCAGTCAATAAAAACTGTAAATGAGGAAAGACACAACAGAAAATAAAGCAGGGCAGTTTTGCAGTAGAAAAACAAACATAAACCATTTTCCAGCCATGCAAGCAAGTACACAAAAACATTAGGGTATCAGCTGATGACTTCTCCATATTTAAAAAATTTGAGACTTCATTTGATTTCACTTCAACATTTGTAAAGTTATAAAACACTTAAAGGAAATGAAAATGTCCATCACAGAGTTTAAGGCTCAAAATTATGTTTCTGACCAACTTGGATATAATTACATTCATTACCACAGAAAATTCTAGCGATTATAAAAACATACAAACAAAAGAAACAAACTTAAAAGCTAGAAGGAAAAAAAGATGATCAGAAATGGTTTCTGAATTAATTATTTACTAGTAAATTATTTGTTTTGTTGATTTGCCAGCTGATTGATATGGTTTCACTCTAATCCAGATACACAAATCAGCTTTCCCAGAAGTCACACTCAGTCTCTCCTCCCAATCACAAGCGCCCAGTGGTCTTTCACCCCTATTCAGGGCCCCTGTCTGGCTTTTGTAAAGTTTATCCTACTAGGACTTCCTCCGAATCCAGCAGGCAGCTGGGAAAAACGCGCACACACTGCTGCTGTTAGTAACAACACTGTGACTAGACGGGATGCAGTATTGGTCTGCTGCAATCAAAGTAGCTGTCAGCCTCTGGTTGTGCTCTGGTTCACCCGGACCACCAAGTCTCTTCGTGTTTTCCAAGTTTTTTTCCTCCTTTTTGGTGGCAGTATATAGAATTACCTATACTGTACTAATGATGCATAAGAGTATATAGTTAAAACACTTTGCTCCAGCACTACCTTTGTACAGACACAGGGTTGTAAATAATCAGTAAAACTTGGGGCAATGTTTTATGCAAGGTGAGATGTAACAAATTTAGCTGGATTTGGATTCACAAGGCGAAGTGTTATATACACATTTCCTCCTCTAGCCTTGCTGTAAAGTTGACTCCATGCGAATCCTATCCTCCTTAGGTCGGTGGAGGAGAGCTTCAACATGTCGGATGAAAGCGGTGGTCCAAGTCTGGGTGTGATTCGGAAGAAGAAGATAGCCATAGGTGTCATCTTCACGCTGTCCCCCAATGCTGAGGAAAACAGCCGCTTCCAAGATTTCTTCTTCTCTCACTTTCCACTCTTTGAAAGCCACATGAACAAACTAAAGAGTGCAATTGAGCAGGTAAGTTAAAGGGATGTAATTTCATTTGAGGCCAACTTTTTATTGCAGTTTTAAGTTCCTATCCACCTCCCTGAATGATGACGTAGAGATAAGTTTTCCTGCAAAATCTAATGCATTAACAATGACATGAATGGAACAAAAAATACAAACCAGCACTGTTTGCTGCTGTAATGAGCAGAGCTGCTGTCAGATTGACCGGTCAATAGTCATGCCTTTTTATATCTGCGGTTCTGTTTACTGGTGTCTGTTGTTGGCACTGTAAGAGCTGTGGTAGATTTCCAGTGTTAGCCAGTCTTCTCCTTTACAAGTTCTTTAGTTTGACAGCTTTGTTGCCAAATATCTAAAAGTGCATGCGTGTTGTGTCGCTCTCAAGGCCATGAAGATGAGTCGGCGGTCAGCTGATGCCAGCCAGAGGGCTCTGGCTTACAGCCGAATGGTGGAGGGACTCAACGAATTCAGGTTGGACAACATATTCTATTTACTCACCTAAATATATAAGTGATCTTACGGAGTGTAGTTTCTCTCACTTTTTTAATTACAAGCTTTTGTTTTGAACACTTCTTAAAACAAAGCTGGGGTTTTTTTTAGGTTGTGTTTATCCATGCAATAAGGGATGTTACATAACAGGGCATAACTTAACCTGGAGCATAAACCATAGTAATAACTTTGAGTGACAAAAACAATGTATACAAGTGCTCATAGCTTTCTTAAAACAAAATGGTGGCATTGACACTGTAGGCTCTTTCTGTTAACCAAAGTCAGCTGTGTTATTCAGTTTCAGTCATTTAATATACATTAATATACAGTGTATTTGGGAAACTGATGATTTTTTTCAACTTCTACAAAATAAAACTGGATGTAAAAGGATGCTCTGAATCTTGCATCCATCTACACATCATGGGACTTGGCCCATCTTATTTAAACATATTTAAATCATTTTATTTTGGAGGCTGCACACTGCAGAGCCACTGACCCAGCTCCACTTCGAGGTTCAGCCCTACATGAATACTGACAGAGGAGATCTGGACTTGGTCAAACTTACTGGCATTGAGCACCACTTATTTTGTTTTCTGTTATTGAGGCCATGTAGGCATGATAGGCTGCAGGAAAGTAGCTGTGAAGGAATGGAAAAAGAGGGGTAATATATTCCTCTGTTTAGGAGACAAGGAACTGCTGCGCTGATGAAGGAAGGTACTCTATAAAAGAGGCAGTCATTGTTATATATTCTGCAGAGACTCAACATTTACAAGGAATCAGATGACACAGATTTATATCAAAATAGTTTATCAGACTTTTTTTTTTTTTTTTTTTATCCAAAGCTGCTGTTGGCAAAGTCACGATGCTTTTGCAAAGTGGGTCACCAAGTACTGGTATCCATTTTTATGCTGGTGCCGACATTTGGTCAGCTTTAATTACCTGAGAAGTATTTTATATGCGTCTTTCATTCCAAGCTTGGTTTGTTAAGCTAGTGGGTTACTAGGGTCCTCTTTCAACATCAAGCAGGCAGTGAATGTGAGTGTGAGACCTGGGGTTTACCAGCTAGGGTGGCTTGCGTTGAAAATACATGTGACATTTAATATTTACTGGCTGCAACAGCGAGTGTCATAGTTTTACCTTGTGAGTCTTTGTTTATGCAATCTCCTTGGAAAAAATAAAGTTCTGGGAGCAACGAAAATGTAGCGGGAAATGGGTTAAAGGTCATTTGTAAACTGAAATCTGCATTTATTTGCATATAAATGCACATTTGCTGTTTTGGCCTTGACCAAATCAAAGTTGTTACTTTGTTACTGCAGCGCACACAGAAGGCCTTTGCTTTGGTGCTTTGACTAATTTTAGGCAGGCTTATTTGATCACGGTTTTAGAAGCTACATCTCAAATTATGCATCACTGCATACTTTGTTGAGAATTATTTCTTTAGACCTTTTAGAAACATCGGTTCCAAGAAGGATTCTGTCTTTATTTGTGATGACATGAGTTATGAAATCATAAATTTGTGATGATTGGCCTGTAGGATTGTTCGGTATGTCTGTCTGTGTGTGGGTGAGAGATGCTTGCCATTATTGTGTGACTCGTAAAATGTTCGACTTATATAATGTGCGTGCGTGTGCCCACCTGCTTGTCTCTGCCACCACTTTCACTCTCCACATACACACTGGCACGCAGTTCCCTGTTTGACGTCCCACTCATTGCTGCAGTCACACGCCTGCTGACAGCCGGCCTCAGCAACCCAAGTCTCCTGAGTGTCAGCCCTATCTGTCTCAGACAACTGGTCATGAGCACCAGAATAGTAAATAATATGCAAGTGCCAGGAGGAGGAATGCTGATCCCCTGGACTCACTAAATAGCTGCAAAACCACCTTCAGATATAGACTAAATATAACAGTAGTCACTTTTGCCATTAAGTGGTTTTGACTTAATGGAACATTGCAAGACGTAACTGGACGAAATGCCTTTCTGTGACGCTGACGTGGCTTCAGCATAGCTGGAGGGTGGGCACGCGCACACACCCTGCATGTTGGCAAAGATAAGGTTAGTAGAAGCATCTGGACATAAATGTCACAGCAGACTATATTGGGGTTATGCCAGAATTTGCGGGTTAAGTTCGAACAGGATTTCTGTGCAAAGCAAAACACCTAACACACCGGAGTCTTAATTCTCATTCGGGCACACATACAGTGAAGTTGGGAAGTTTTTTTTTTAGACACTGAAATTGAGTGTCAAACATAAAGCTGTATGTCCCTGAAACTTTCTAAACAAAAAATACATAAATAAGTAAGAAGTCCCTTGAAGCACTTGGGTAAAACTCTCCCAGAAACTGAAATTTAAAGTCGGTAGAGTGGTTCCATAGATGATATTGACAAAGTGAGCTGACATGACAGTAAAAGGGCAATCAGTGCTCTTAAAGTCTACCCTGCCTCCATTCTAGTTTAGCCCTAAGCATCTGAATAATGGTGGCAAAGAGTTTTTCCTGTTTGTATAAAGGTTACTCCCACAACCAAAAATCTTATTATTGGATTTATAACATGTTAGTCTCTATAAACAGCTTAACTAACAGTATTTATGATGCCTCTTAAAGTCAACTTATGAAACCAACTTAATGAGGGCAAATGCTTGGACTGTCACTCACCATAGTGAGGTAATTTATATCTGGGTCCTCAGCCCGACACAACAGTTTAATTCCACATCACAGCCGTGCACTTTTAATGTTCACCTAAACAGCTGATGCGTGGAGGCTGAAGCTAGATTTCCCCACTCATCTAGTGCCGGCTTGGCCGCAGACCTCTTTCCAGTGGCAGGCTTTCAGTAATGTACACCAGACACCAGGAACAAGTGGGGCTTAGGAGAGGCCGCAGGAAAAAGTCAACCCGTTTATAATACAGGAGTGAATAAAGTATTATTAGTTCATTTGATGCCACAGTCAAATGATGGATGATCTTTGCTGCCTTGCAAACAAGAAGACATAATGAGATCTGGAGATGTGTGTCTGATTTATTCCAAGTTCATTCTGCTTCACCGATTGATCGTTGATCTTCTTGCTATTATCACACATTTTATCTGTCAGACTGTTACCTAACGCTGTGATGTTCTAGTTTAGCAGGATTTGTTTCTGCGCTAGTACACTGATAAAGACTCGTTATGTTGGTTCAGTTAGTGACAAAACAAGACTGCCAGCAGTTAAAATGAAATCTATAACACTAAAGGGTCATCTAAAGCAACACTTAGCTCTTTTTGTTTTGTTTATAACAACTTTGGCATCTTTCTATTTTAACATTAGGAACTCTTGAAACTTAGTTTTGTAGACATGGATTAAGCTGGGAGGTCTCCACTGAGTTTTTCTTTTAGTTGAGGATTAGTCAAAATCCACATATAGGAAAGTGGCTGTTTGTCACTCTGAGCTTGGGTTTAGGGATGGATTTATTAAAAATCTTACTTAAAAATAGATCTGCGTGGCAGTGCTGTTAAATTCACCTAGAAACAGTGAGGCGTTAAGTTGTTTTCTTTGGAAAATTACGCAATCCTAAAATAGCTTGATCACCAGAATACTTGACCTGAAGTGAATGTCACTTCCACTGTGTGACACCTGTGTTTTCTCACAGCCTGTCTGCGTCACTCCTGTCACCGGGTTCATGATAGGTCAGAGAGGTTGTGAGTTTACTGCAGAATTAACCGTGTTTACAGCTGTCCCGAAGCTTCCAGTAAGACTAAATCAAGAAATCAGGGCGGGGTTTTATTGCTTATCAGTAGAACCTACAACCCTTGTGACAGATCAGCCGAGCTGATGGCAGATGGTTAAGTCCATTTCAGTTTCCTTGACTATGCTGCTGTTTTAGCTGAAGATTGCAATTGTATTATAGATTCGGGTAATTTGTTTGCAGCAGAACTAAAGTAAGCAGAAAACTTTCTACAGAGCACCTCATCACCTGATAGAAACTGACAGCACTGTTTGTTTTCTTATCTACTGAAAACTGCTCTTTTAATATGGGGGAAAATGGATTTGCTATTTCAAACCCTAAAGCAATGATCTGCAGTCCATATTTTAACCATGACTAAAAATTCCTGATTTTCTACATTCCTACGTCTGCAGAGATTCCCTTCTGCCTCTGTGTCAAAGCTTGGCCTCTGGCCGAGACATGCTCACCAATTCACCCCACGCTCCATGGAAACTCCTGTCCTTCTCAATGGACAAATGCCCCAGCCGAGCCACATACAGATGCATATACACCCACACACTGTACAGACCAAGAGACAAAGTTGGGTGTGTGTGAGGAGGAGAGAGAGGGTGCACGCAAGGTCGTCAGACTGTTACAAACACAGATACAGCAAGGGTCTCCTATGGCCTCAGTGTAGACAGCGAAGCTCTGTGAACTGAGATCTCTTTTGTTTACCCCAAGAGACAATAACGTCCCTGTTTTCTCTCTGTCTGTTTTCTCTCTTTCTCCTTGTTCCCTTTCATTTGGACTCTCCATGGCCTCCCCCTCTTTCATCGCTCCCTCCCTCGCTGTACCTCATCTCCAGGATGACCATCTGTGACCTCTACACCATGCCCCGAGTGGCCGAACCCGTCTGGTTGACTATGATGTCTGGAGCATCAGAGAAGAACCAGCTCTGCGGTCAATTCATGAGGGAGCTTTCTCTGCTGATGGAGCAGGCCTCCAAGAACCAGTTGAGTGTCTCCCTATTCTTCCACCTACTTCACTATTAGTCAAGGAATTTCTATAGATGGCACACAGATTTAGTGAGTCCATGATGTTGTGTCCTAGACTAAGACAAAGATGCAAGGTGCACAAAATATATACCGTATTTCCCGGACTACAAAGCGCACCTAAATATTAGCCGCACAAGCTAAAATCAGGGGAAAATCCTGTTTTGTACATACATTAGCCGCACCTGACCAAAAGCCGCAGGTGTTTCAATGTTGACTTATCATATGTAAGAGAATATGCACAAAGGGAATTGTCAGGAAAGAGATGGCTGTTTGGAGACATCACTTTTATTAATATTTTGAAAAACAAGTTATGGGTACATATTTGCACATGTAGTACATAACAGTAGCCTACAGCACACCAGAAAAATAGATTCGGACTACCTTTTAGGCTCAGGTGCAGTGACACAGCTTTAACAAGAAGAAAAGTCAGTCATTCACCATCTTTCTCTTCTTCCTGCGCACTAAAACCACCAAAGTCCTCTTCTCCAGTGTCGGATACAAACAGGCTCAGGATGGCTTCGTCATCCACTCTCCGCTTCTCTCCTTCGTTGTCACTTTCAAAACCAAAGAAATCCTCATTGTCAGTGTCGGAGTCGAACACCCTCAGAAGGGCCGTGGCGGTGTCCTCCTCTCCATCATGCAGCAGTCCAGCCCTTCAAAATCCGTTGGTGATCGTGGATGTTTTCACACTTTTCCACGCTGTCAAAATCCACCGGTGGAGTTGGGCATAACTTGCTTTTTGGGCATAACTTGCAAGTTTATCGCCACTCATCATCCACGACTCCCGCTGAACGCGTACCGCTACTTTGAAGTTTGTTTTTCACGCTACTTCGTACGGCACTACGTTGCCTGGCGGACGGACATGTGACTAACATACCACTCTTGAACCCCGATCCTTCCGCCAGGCAACGTAGTGCCGTACAACAGCGGAACACACAAAACAAATCGTCTTACGATATGACAAAAATCACGGACAATCCATAGAAAAGCCGCATCTGACTAAAAGCCGCAGGGTTCAAAGCTTGTGCAAAAAGTAGCGGCTTATAGCCCGACATTTACGGTATACATGTCGCATCTTTCTTTTCTTAGCAACAGAAATGGGGAACATGCAGATTTCCACACACACTTAACTATTCATTCTCTCTCCCTCATACTCCTTTGTTATGTTTAATTGCACACACAGACACTGACACCCTCTTTGCATCTATTTGTCCGTTTTAAAAAGTGCTGTGAATGAGAAGATCCCTGCCAGTCTCTAATTGCTTATTGTTGCTATTACAAAGCCATGTCAAACCACTGCTAATTGTGCACGTATGAATTGGTTGCAGCGCTTTTATTGAACATAGCACCCATATTCAGCAGAGTTAATTAAAGCATCATTCACTGCACTAAACTGAGGTGTTGCATAATGTTTAGTAAGGTGGTAAAAATGCCTTAAAATGTTTTATCAGATCTTAATTAGAGTAACACCACAGTGGAAGTGTTCACACAGTTGAAAATATTAAAACTGTGCTTGAGAGTTTTTGTTTTTTTAATTGTAACTTTTTCTGTATTTTTTTTAAATTAATTTGTCATTTTATCTTCTATAAGCTCCATATCAAAATCTACAACTTCACTGATTTTGTTGAAAACCAAACTATATTTTACTTTTTCGTATATTTTTTACATTCAGTCATTTATACAAATTAGACCAATGAGAGAACATAGATAAAGGCAGATTATCATTACTGTACTACATGAGCCATGGATTTTAAGACATTTGGGACTTTTCTCGTGTTCTCTAATTTCCAGCATGCTCACTGAACTTAAATAGACGGGGTTTTTTCCCCCTAAGTAACCAGTTTCTGTATCAGCATCACCACTTAGCTGAAGTCAGTGTTTCCACCACTACTGCAACTACCTCTAAGTACTGTTGACTCTTGAGTGAAGCGTCATGTTTCCCTGGGAACCAGTGCTTTTACTGTATCACATCACATCTTTTATGAGGCCATCTCATCAGTGTTCCCATGACTGATGGTTCTGATAATTCCAGCAGTCCCGGCACGCGACTGAACTCTGCTAACATGACAGAGTTGAGTCATGAGACAGGAAGGGAAGTAGACACTTGTGGTCAGAACTGAGAAGTGAATCATGCTCATGGAGTGTGTGTGTTTGTGTGTGTATGGGTGTTTCGCTTAATGTGTACAGCTGGGTATGTTTCAAACAAAGGATTTGTGTTTGTGGTGTCCAGTTCAACAAGAAAGAAATGACCAAGGTTTTCCAAGTAATGACAGCACATTTGACCTTACTGAAGTAGGTCGAGAGAGAGAGAGAGAGAAAGGCAATTTCTGGACAGATGGTAATCATCGAGGGTGATCAGGGCGATATGGTCGTAAGCTGTGCCCATAGCATGGCAGCATGGTGGTTAGCGCTATTGCCTCACAACAAGAAGGTTAAATGTGTTGAGTTTAAATGTTCTCCTAGTGTCTGCGTGGGTTCTCTCTGGGTAGTCTGGCTTCTTCCCACAGTCCAAAAACACGCAGTAGGATTAGGTTAAGTAGGAAATCTAAATTGCCCGTAGATGTGCATTTGAGTGTGAATGATTGTTTGTCTCTTTGTGTTACCCTGCCTCCCGCCCTATGGAAACTGCCCCCACAACCCTGAATTGGATAAGTGGAAGAAAATGGATGGATCGTGATCATGCACTGATTCCCTCTTGATTTATTCCTCCTCCTC